GTGCATATAGCAATGGTTCATTGATCCCCCAAATATTGATATCAAAATATGAGGGAACTTGAGAAACTTTGGGAGCAGGGTGGAATTCCCCCCACTACCTTACTAACAACCATTTTTTTGGAGGGTGGATGGTACCCCCAGGACCACCTAGAACTACAGTTCTATACTTGCTTATGTTCTGTGACACACCTCTATGATGGTATTTGCATTTCTAAAAAAATTACTTTTCTAAAAAAAAGTTTTTTTATTTTTATATATAATATTTGAGGGATGCATGAACCAGTGCTATATGCACTGTTATACTTGGGGTTGGGGAAATATTAATGGAACTGTTGAAGGTTATTATGGCCCTAATAGGGATGCTGTTTATCTTATATTGTGGGGTGCGGGGTGTAGTTTGGAATTCCCCAGGCCAATAGCTGATATTTAAATCCATAAGCATTTTTATTTTGATTACTGTCAGTATCCCCCAGCTTATTGTCGTACAGGTGTGTAACATTCATGTAAGATTTAAGAAGCTGAGATATGATCTGCAGAAATATGACAATGTAGGTTCAAAGGAATATATTTCATCTCTCATAAACGCTAAAATATTAGTTGCAGAGATATGAAAATACTTCCTTCTGATTGGACACACTGTAGGCTACATCTGCATGTAAAACTGTATTTGTAGCCTATGTAGAATCCCAGAGAAATGCAGAAAACTGTTATATGGCGCCTGATTGGACAGCTGAACAGTGATTGGTACTGTCGCGATCGGACTGATGCGCTGGTGTCGAAAATTCAATCCCTGACTTGGTGATTCAAACCGTTCCTGGTCCAATCGACTTTGGGCACTTCAGTACTCAGAGTGTCCTGTGGGCTGGTACAGGAACACCCCTCAGAGAGTGGATTAGCCAAGGGCTAATGTCCAGCTTACGTCCATATTCCCATAAATTGAGGACCTGAGATATGGACGGTGTGATTCATATGGAGCCAGTTCTATTGACTGGCGAATCACAGACTTTCTCTGACTTGCTCCAGTCGCAGGATAACTCTTGGTAAAAGTTTTATTTCTGCTTTATTCCCTTTTATTTTATAGTCAATAGCCAATCGTGTGTCTTCTTGTATTTTCTGTAACTTTTTATACTTTGTACATATTTTATGCACTGCCCACTTTCAGGATATTAAATCATAAAATTAATAAGTGACTTCTGGGTACTTGTTATGATCCACCAGGTGGTGCCTCTGGCAGCCCACTGGGCAGACCTACCCAAAGCCTGGAATCTAAGTCCCGGTCTGTGCTCTCACCAGGGCCCCTGATGGTGGGGATGGACTTGTAACAGACCAGGGCCAGGTCACGACCTCCGAGCAGGCCTACCAGTGGCTGAGGCAACCTCCCGGGGATGTATAGGTACCGGGAGAGCCAGATGTGAGGAGGACGGCGGGACCTAGCTGGATGGGTCACGAGCAGCGGTCCCGTGGGGTAAGCGAGGTACAGAATCGGCAGGCAAAGAGTAGTCAGGTCACACGCAGGGTCAGCAGGATAAGTCAGTCTACAGATAGGTCAAACAAGCCGGGGATCAGGAGAGGAGAAGGCAGCGTAGTCAGGACAATCCGGGTCAAAGCACAGGAGAAGGCAGCGTAGTCAGGGTCAATCAGGGTCAAAATGCAGGTACAGGAACTCAGGAACACAGATAGACCTTGCGGCAATTAGTGACAGTGCAGGGCATCTTTAAATATTGCGCCCTGCACTGTCATTGGCCGTCCAGGACGCGCCCCCGGGCTGTCATTGGCCGCCCGAGGTGCGCCCACGGCTCCTACTGCGCATGCGCGGCATCCTGTCAGATGCGGCCCGCCGGGACCTGGTGCTTGTGTCCCGGCATGAGCCGTCGCCAGTGCGCATGCGCCGGAAGAGGAGCCGCCGCGATCCCTGACAGTACTTAAGCTCGGGCTCAAATCTCCGGAGAGATTGTATTGTATTGCAGTGTCTTTATATGCTCGGTCAAGTTCATTGCCAATCTGTATGAAATTGCACTGCGTGTTGGCAGATTGCATGCAGATTGTAAAGGTAACAGATCTTCCAGACGGAGATCTGTGTGTGTGTGTGGTGGCCCAGCAGACCAGTCTGCGGATAAAACTGTTGGGTGGTGTGTCAAGTGTTTGTGGTGTGTCTGAGGGTGTGTGGACAGTGGAAGAGTGATTAAAACTGGGGTTCTAGCTTGTAGGATAGCTGGAGGAATCCTAGAAGGGTGTGTCGATTGCTAGGCTGCTCCTAAACCCTTAGTGTGCACCCGATTGTATATAAGATTCGTATCTGCCTGTGTGAGTGGTCAAACAGCTGGATTGGAGTGGAGTCTCCCTCTAGTGGTGGCATGAGGTAGTGCGGGCTGTGAAAGTATATCACGGCTGGTCTTATATATATTCAGATTAAGTCCCCCTTATTCCCTCTTATCCCAAGGCACGGCCGCACGTGCACGCCTCGGTTAGCTAGTCGCTAGTGCATGTGGGTTGGATCTGTGACATGGTGGTTTCCTTTTCTTCCTTCTTTCCTCCTCCTTTTCCCCTTCCCATCCCTCTTTCCTGGTAACCCTATGTAATAATTAATTTTTGAGGGAAGGTTATAGTATTTTGTTTGATCATTATTATCTTATAGGGCACATGCCTGTTCTCTGGTGTTTTATAATACTATATCTTCAGTTTATCAAGGGTTCAAGTTCTTCAGTCCATATGATGCTTGCGGCTCTCAAAACCTGGAACTAATTGTAAGCCATGCGGGTCTATTTGTAACAGGTAATACACACATCTGGAAAGACCCAGAGCATAGAATAAGTGTATTGTGCTCTATTGTTACTCATATTGGCTTTCTTTGTAATCTTATAAAAATATATGCCAGATCTCCCTGAGGAAGCAAGCTTGTCCTGTGAAACGCGTCAGTTTTTCAATTTCTGGCATACAATATAAGTTTGTATTTAATAATATTTCAAGATTTGTCATTACGATTTTATAACAATTTGCACAATAAAATGTAAAACTTTTTACATATAGTGTGGTACATTAAAATCCTACTAGTTTTTCATATGGTAGGGAATTGGGTATATTTCAGTATCAGTCACCTTTACCCTTTAGTGATGACCTGCAGACTTAGTTGTCACAGGTGAAGTTTGAGTTTGTGCACATGCTTTGTGCCACTCACTAAATTTTCTGCCATAAAGCAGAGCAAGAAAAAAAAGAGAACTAAGCAAAGCAGGATTGCATTTCTTTATATCATTACATTATATAAATAACTGTATTGTGCTAAAACACCCATAACCTAACTGCCCTATACAGTATCTGCATTTGATTGTGTAAAACATACAGCATTCTGCAGTGTTAGTGAATAGCTTTTATCTTGCACAGTGATTGGAGTGCTCTGAACAGTGCAGGTCACTATGATAGGTAATCAGTGATGATTTAGTGGGTACCAATCATTAGCAATAGCATACTGTACATTCCTAAAGTTTTACTTTCAGAATAAAAAACTGCAGAGAAAAATCTACTTAACTTAGGAAATGACTGCTAAATGCCTAAGTATAATGCAATAGTTTTTATTTCAAAAGAAAATGATATATATTTAACTTTGTATTGTACATGTTATCACTGATACGTATGAAGGAGGGAAAATATTTTCAAGTCAATGGTTATCTTTACTAAACTCTAAAGAGTGGATGAAGACAGTGGAGGGCAGTATTGTACAGTCACAAAAAGACATCTGCCTTAACAGTTATTAAAGAATATTTAAACACAGCTTTTCATATTCCTGATGTGTGCCTGCTGTACCATGTACTTGCATGAAAAAGTATCCTGTTTTCCGTTTATTGCCTCCTTTGTGTGAAATCCCTGAAGTTCCTGCTAGTCCCTCTGCTTTCCCATTAAAAAAAACTAAGCAGGAGAGCACAGCACAGGCACTTCTCTAGCTATGCTGAGAACTCAGCCTGCTCTCCTCAAAGGATCAGACGTGTTCTGATACCATACCCCCCCCCCCCCCCCCCCCCCAAGCCTTTCACTGGGAGGATCAGTGAGCTGCTGTTTTTCCTCCTCCAGCTCTTATGTGACTGAGAACAGAAGGAATGTGATCATTTATAAAAAGAAGGGGAAAAAATTGTGTTTATAATGTTTTTTTAATCTATACACAAATGTTTATTTACACAAATCTGTACGCTAGGTTAGGGTTTACAACACTGTGTTAGATGAAAACTGTTGGAGATTTTTTTTTTTGAGGAAACACAAACTGGGATTTTTTCAATGCAAGATTTCCCAACTGTACATTCAGAGCAGGCTGAAGAGAAAGTATGAGTATTTCACTACTATATGCTCTCCACCATTATATGTATGTAAATAATATTTGCTAACGTTATAAATAAAAAACATAAAAAAGTATAAACTCCACTATCCTTGTAGCTTTACCCTGCCTCCAGATGCTTAGGAATCCTAAAGTTCTGACTAATCGCCAAGGATAGTGAGAAGCTATCATTGACAATTTCATTGTAGCATATGTCAGGTATTACCTAACCAGTGGATGATCTGTATTTGTAAAGGGGATAGCTTTACTTGTCAGGCCACAGTGGAAGTGGAAAATCAGCACTGACAACAGATACGGCCTATTATAAACCCCATCTATATCTGTTATGCAAATTGAATGTCTGTCCTCAGGTACATAAGGAGAGCAGGGGAGCAAGTAACATCTTACATCAACAGCTACCAATTTTGAAACAATGGATACAGTTTTGTTCTTTATTGCAATTTTCCCTTTAGGTATGAGAAATTAATATTATAATTAGTATTATTGAGATATACTGTGTGTATATATATATGTGTGTGTGTGTGTGTATATATATATATATATATATATTATATATATATATTTGTCTTTAACTGATTAATTAACTCATTAGTTATTGTGATTTTGTTTTTCAGGTGTCCTCTCCCAGACTTTACAAGAATCAGCCCCAGGAACTGTAAAACCTTCACAGCAAATAAAAATGACCTGCACAGTGTCTGGGTTTGCATTATCTGATTATAGTGTACACTGGTTTAGACAACTGCCTGAATCGAAATTGGAGTGGATTGGAGTTATATGGAGTGGTGGTAGCACTGACTATGCTGATTCACTAAAAAACAGACTCTCGATCACCAAAGACAATGCAAAGAAAGAAGTCTACCTGCAAATCAATGCAGCAGAAAATAAAGATTCTGGAACATATTACCATGTGCAAGACGCACGGCAACAGAAAGTAACTGACAGGCTGCTCAATTTCCTATTTCATATAAGTGTGGTACGCACACAGGGGAATAGCTATAAAAAAATGTCATATTGGTCTCTGTGCTTACATTTTGGCTATATGACTTGCAGAAGATGCTGACTGAGCGGATGTCTCTCAACACAAACTAAACCATGGGTAGGCAATCTTTGATAGGTGGAGATCTACCTGAATAACATAAAAGAGATCAAATATCACTGGTATTTGATGCCACTTTTTTAAAGTAATAAATTACTAGCAAGGCCTAATCAAATAGTAAGGAAAATGTATGTAGCACTACCCCCTTAGGAATCGCTGAAGATTTGGGTCCCCCAATAGTCCAAGACAGCCAGGCAACATGCATTCTTCACAGACTTGCATCCAGATGACAGTAACAAGTCCTTGAGCTTGTTTTTTGTGATTTTATTAAAGGGTTTAAAACTTGGATAGGGTAAGGGATGTATGGGATACCCAAGGGAACTGCAACTGAGGACGACTTCCTGGAACTATGTACATGTCTTTACACAGCAAAATTCTCTTCTTGGAAAGCTCTCCAGCTTCTCCTGATGTACCACCCCAGACCCTAGATAATCCTCCTCTATCCAGCTGTCTGAAGGTATCCCTGGGCAGGGGATCCAGTGCCTGCCACTTTAAGGTGAACAGTCCCAGACAAGCAGCTAATCCTTTTGCCCACCAGAGTGCTTCTTTCCCCTTAACTGGCCCAGGGGTGTGTAGGATTATTCACTCAGTCTTGTTCCTATGAGCTGGTGGGTTGGTAGCTGCTTTCAAGCCTTCTGCTGGGCTGGCTCCTTCCCTGCTTCACAGGTGGTCCTTGCTCTGGGGGCCGATGAGGTCTGAGCTTTCCTCCTCTACAGCACCATTGCCTGGAGGTGAGCCCCTTCCCAACTGGGCCCTGTCCCAGGCTCTTGCACCTTAGTCTTCTCATTCCATCTTCTGCCCAAACTCTCCTGCTGTGGAGCAGGCTCTGTCACATTTAAGAACTGCCTTGGCCCCATACCAAGCCTCCTGCTTGGGGATTGGCCAGGGTCCCCTAAGTGTGCAGGCCAGCCCCTCCTCACCGACGCCCACTGCTTCTAGAATCTTCTTCAAAATCAGGGAACTGACCTGCAGAGCCTCTTAGCCCTGACCCAAATTTAACCCTGCTAACTATTACACCCAGGCTAATACTCAGCCTCTGACTAAAAAATTGAACACTAGCTCCCCCTGGCTATCTAGAGGGGCGCTACATGTAAAAAATATAATAAAACAAACATCACTGTAGCCTACCTTAAAAGTACCTTAACAGTGTCAGAGTCAGTAAAGCAGCAGATGGTGTCAGTGCACAGTGTCAGTAGGGCAGTGGATGGTGTCAATGGATGGTGTCAGTAGGGCAAATGACAGTGTGTGGATGGTGCCAGTAGGGTAGTGGATGTTGTCAGTAAGACAGTGGACAGTGTTAGTCAGTCAGTAGACAGTGGACAGTGTCAGTGGGGCAGTGGATGGTGTGTGGACAGTGTCAGTAGGGCAGTGGACAGTGTCAGTCGGGCAGTGGATGGTGTGTGGGCAGTGTCAGTAAGGCAGTGGATGGTGTGTGGGACAGTGTCAGTAGGGTAGTGGATGGTGTTTGGACAGTGTCAGTTGTAGTGATGGGCCGAACACCCCCCTTTTTGGTTCACAGTCGAATATACAAACCTACCGAAAGTTTGACCGTGAACTTCGAACAGGGACAATTCACTAAGCAATATCTTAGAGCATCTGAGTATGCGGTAAGATACTACACAGCTATAAAATACCGTATAAGTTATATTATATATTAAGTCATTGCATTTTTTTATTTTTTGCTAAACAAATGAAAAAAGAAATTGTGGGAAAAAAAGTTTCTGTTTTGCAAATAAGTTTCTTCACTGATGTGCATTGATGAGGCTGCAATGTTAAGCACCGATGAGGCTGCACTGTCGGACACTGATGAGCTGCACTGATGAGGCTGCACTGATGTGCACTAATGGGCACTGATGAAGCTGCACCAATGGATATTGATGAGGCAGCACTGACGAGCACTGATAAGCTGCACTGATGGGCACTGATGAGGAGGCAGTGATGAGACTGTACTGATGGACACTGATAGGCGGCATTGATGTCCACTGATAAGCTGCACTTATCAGTGTAAACAATTTCCTTACTGTGCCCTGTTGCTGTTTATCGGCTCTCCTTTCCTCACACAGGAAAAGCATGTGCAGAAAGTAATGCTCATAACCAGCAAGTCTGTTTACATGTGACCAGTTGTGATTGAACTTTTAATGCAATCTGTGATCAGCTGTGTCCAAAGGACACCCCAGGGGGTGAGCTGGAGGCACGCACTTGGGTGGATGCCCATATACTTACCTGTGGGTGTATGCAGTCTATTTTCTCCATGGCAGGTGGTGCTCTTCCGCAGCAGCACTGTTGCTGGAGAGGAAGTCAGGAAGGACAAGGTTCCTATATGGTTTCCTTGGTTGCTTTGGAAGCTATCCTATTGGATGCTGCCACCCCATGTGACTCAAGCAGCCATCTTGAGTAAGGCAGAGCCAATTTAGGCCCTGGCTCCTGGGTTTTGGCGTGCTTTGGTGAGTGGACAGAGTAAGGACAGGTACCTTGTCTGTGAGGGACAGTGGCAGCGCTAGGGAAAGGTTCCTGATGTGGTGGGTAAGCATAGGGCCTCATCTTTGCTTGACGTTCTCCCATTTGGGACCAGATGGCCAGGCTGCATTCGGTCCCCTTTCAGCAGACACTGTCATTCTGGCTGGAATCTACTCTTGTCACACTACTGAACTGTGAGTTGCCTGGCTGGGTGGCCTTCCCACCAGGCTTGTTGTGAACTGTTGTTGCATTTCTTCAATACAAATGTATTGCTTTTGCTTGTGTGAATCATTGATTCCACACCATGCTGCACCCAACCTACAAAACCTAATCTGCCAATCTTCCAAGCACAAGACCGGTCCTTGATGCTCTTGCCCCCCAGTACACGAGCGGTTTTATGATTGAACTGTTCTCGAAGTCATCAGGCCCATAGGCCAGCTCTGGATGTGAGGACGGCAGCAACAGTCCACCTCTGGTAATGGGGGAGCAATGTTTTTCAAATGATCGAAGGATCAAGTAAGTATACCTTTTTGTTGGTGCCCTGGACAAAACGAGCAGATAACCCATGTAGTGAGGGAACAGCCCCTCTGCATATGAGAGAAAAAATTTTTTCATAAAGTTCTGCTTTATTGGATGGAAGTTATGTATGTGGGATCTGAAGTCATATGAGAAGAGAAGCCTCAGAGTGTCATGCTTGTAAGGGGCGGAGGGGTACGGTTGTCATGTCCTCCATATTCGCCTTCTCCTTGGGCGCCAAAGAAGAGTTGCATGAGAGGCATACCATGGAGTGGGTTCTTCTGGGCTATACTAGGCACTTTTGAAGAGGGTCACTACCTTACACAAGGGGAACATTTACTGGAACAACTGAGTGATCTTTAATAAACTCTCACAATGTTACTGTAGTTCACAACAGTCACTTGTGCAATTAGGAGGGACATGCAGAGACAGATTGCTGCAGGAGGAGTGCTGACAACATCTCCTTTGCTGCAAGAGGCTATCTCTCCTGCCACATGAACATGCTTATGGCAGGCTGCTTTGTTACCCTTGATATCCACACTGCATGAACTCTTGTACCATTATGTTTATTCCCCGATATGTTTAGTGACCCGAGCTGTAGACTATGTATGCTGGTTATTTACATCACAGTCCTTGAGAAACTTCAGACCAGGCAAAGGCAAAGTTTCAAACACTTTACTTGAAACATGAAGACATAGACAAATACCAGTCCAGAATAAAGTGTAAACATTTCCCTAACATCCCTAGCCACTAACTCAGGCTTGTGGCTGACCCAACATAACTGTGCAGGGGTCCATCTTTGGGTGAGTCCATAACTAGTGTCTTCAGGAGGTAACGCAAGCCCCAGTAATCATTCTAGGCAGTGGAAACTGGCTTCAGCGCATCACTGAAAAACCAGACTCTGTTACCTGCAAACTGAACTGGCCAGAACTGAATCAGCAGAACAGCACACAAATCCCCCTTCCCACCCGGGTCCAGGCCTCTGTCCCTTTTATAGCACACAGTAATGGGATATCAGGACCAGGAAAACACACTAAGAAAAGCACGGGAAGCACAATTAACTCTCAACTTCCCGGCTGGGGGAGTGTTAACCACTACCTAAATAAATATACAGTGCCGCGCTTCCTTTAAATGCCCCTAGAACACATGTGAATGCAAACAAATATAATGAGATATTGTGAACAATCCTAATTGCAGTCTCTTAATAGTTTTGCTTCTTCAGCTTCAAAAAAACTCCATAAATTTATATCGTCTTAAAACTAATCCGCCACCACAAACACCAAATGTGCCCTCATCTGGAGTTTTTTTTCCTCACATAAAGTTAGGTCAAAAAAGTGTATGTTTATCGATCATGGATAATGCATTTAACACCAACAGCACATTTCACAATGCCAGGATGGTGACTTCTTCAGGAAGGCCTATGAAACTTGTTCACAGATGGCCTCCTCCTCTCCTCATGGCTCTGTTTGAAATGGCCGCCTGTGTTGTGCAGACAGCCTGGTGTGTACAGGAAGTGGTACGTAGCCAGGAATACAACTCAGATCATGGTAGTTAACCAATACCTACCTGAATGCTAGAGACCAAACGTGTGTTGTCCAGAGATTCAAGCAGTGATCCTTCCTTGGACACTAATCAAAGCTCCCAGAAACTATTGAACACCTCTGATATGGGACTTCAGGTTATATTGCTGGTTTCCACAAACCATAAAGC